AGCGCTACATGTTCTCGGTAGGCGGTAGCATATCCTCAACTCCGTTTCCTGTCTATCGTACGACGGAACCGTCGAAACGCCTTGTTGAAGTTGGGCCCTAGCAGACCTATCAGATACGTGGTGTGAATCTCGCCGGGAATGGAGGCCCGTGGAGTCCGTACGTTGCCGGATTCGCAGCAGGTGTTCCTTCCCCATGCACTCAGCTGCATTTAGTTGACGCTGATTGCTATCGTGGAGCCAATATCACCAATCGTTGCAATACTCTTGACTTTGATATTCCGCCCAACACCAACGCGGCGAATACCACGACATGCAATAAGCTCGCCTGGCAGCCTTCTGAAGATGACGGTGGATGCGGCTTAGTGGCGTATCAAGTGTTCCGTGAGGGTTCCCTCATTGCTGAGGTTCCAGGAAGCAACATTCACTTTAGTGACTTGGACACTAGTCTTGTCTGTGGTCAAGAATACAACTATGCTATCCGAGCGCTCAACTGTAGGGGAGATGAGAGCAGTCCATTGGTGAACGTCACCGTTCGGCAAGGCGCCAGTCCATTGCCCCTATGTAGAGACTTCGTTGAATCTGCGGAAGGTTGGGTCTGTGATGGTAACGGTCTCTCGGCCAAGCCTGCTTCTACAACGTCGCTGAACTACAGTTGGCCGCGCTTGGGTTCCGCCGTATCGCTCCGAGAAGATTGGCAGTCGGGTTTCGCTGTCAATGAGAGTATCCTGGGTTATATCTTATCGCATGACGATGGTCTCATGGGGAACATGGAAGTCGTCTATGATGGAGTTGGCTGGCCTTCACAAACGTTCTATATTCAGAAGAATCTGACCCCTGGGCTGACGTACAGGGCAACTGTTAGGGCTGTCACTACTGTTGGCCAAGGAGAAGCTTCCCCGGTGCTCTACACTGTTATGGCTGAGCCTCCGGATCCTCCAATCAATGTGAAGATAGAATGGGCTACTCCAACGGGCGGTGTTGATTTGTATTGGACCGCTCCGACTTACACTGGTCATAGCCCCGTCACGAGTTATATAATCCAGTATCGCTCAGTTGGCGAGAGCTCTGAGTTCTTCACCATTCCGCGCTACCCAAGTGGCGTGGAGCAAGGGCCGTATCGACTTGATGAAAGCGATAATCTAACACGAAGCCAAGAGTTCGAGTTCCGTATGGCTAGTGTGAACACTGCTGGACAAAGTCAGTGGAGCGAAGTGGCATCGATATGGGTTGGGAATAGGCCATTGCCTCTGCCCGAGAGGCTTGGCTTGTGGTTCTCTATGGTCAACAAGACACATGTGGGAGTGTCCTGGCCTCAGCTTGATGATGAATCGTTGTTGATGATCCCCGATATTTATGGGACTAGGAGGGACGCGTGGGGTTACGTCTTATACGCTTATGCGTTTACCGGTAACTA